ATCATTATCCAGTGATAGTAAAGGAAAACGTTTATTTTTTGCAACAGATATTAAACAAAACTTATTGCAAAGACAAATTTTAGTTGATATGATGCTTAAACAAAATATTATACTTCATAACGACATCTGTTTAAATTTATTTCAATCAAATAATATGTGTCGATCATTTGAAATCTTTAATGATTTTTGTTCAATAGCTAATTGTACAACATTACCAATGAGTGCGAATGCAAATGATGAAGATATTTTAGATGTAATCGAATACTTTAAACCAAATATTCTCATTGGTTCACTATATCGTTTAATGCAATTAGCATTTTTTATTGAAAAACAACAACTAAAAAAGGAAATTAAATTTGAAAAAATCTTTTTTGCATATGAATCACTCGATGAAATTAAACAAAAATTTTTTAGACGTATTTTTCATTGTTCAATTTATATTGGTTTTTATGGTTCAGTTGAAACAGATATATTTGCTTGTCAATCTCCAAAATATTCATCAACTAAAATTTATCTTTATCCAAAGGATTTAGTTCATATTGAAATAATAAATTCAAAAATAATGGTTACAAATTTAATTCGAAAATGAAATCAATTAATACGTTTTGATATTGGTGATCATGGACGATTAATTTCAAATCATGAAGATGATAAATATGGTTTAATTGAAATATTTCATAGTCAACCATGAGTTACGATTGCAAATAGTGTACTTTCAATATCAGTTATTGAAGAAATTATGAAACAACAAGATTTAATTGAATGGCAATTAATTATTGATTATGGTTCAAATACAGAAAATAATGAAATATTTCTTTTATTTCGATATATTAAATCTGAATTAATTTCAAATGATATTATTGAAAAAAATATTGGAAATTGTTTACAAAACTACTTCGATACAGCATTATCTAATCTTTTCCAACAATTAATACTTCGGTTTCAATCTATTCAATTCAAAGATTTGATTAGAGATAAAACATCGGATAAACTATTAAAAATTATCGATAGACGAGTTAAAATATGATTTTCATATATTTTTTTGTAATTTAAATATTTTTATGTAATACATTATTCAAAGTTTCAAAAAACAATTAAGTTATTTTCTCATTAGAACATTCTCATTTATTTTGTATTGCAACATGAATAAATAACGTTGAATATATTGAATTATTGTTTTTAGCTCGTAAATGAATATGACGATAGCCTAAAAACAAAACAAATGATTGAATTTTAAATAGTATATTTGTTTTAGATTTTAACGAGAATAAACCTGTTTGCATCATTGTCATTGGTCAACAAAAATAAACTAATTGATCATCATGACTAAATATATCATAATCATAAACATCAAAACGAATAAGACACATTTGTGGAAAATAAATATCTCGTAAATTGATAACAACTTCTCCCTTCTGGTATACGCACTGAAATATCATAAAAATGTAGTACACGGTTCAAGAAGTCGGTTCAAATTCTTCATCCATTAGAGTCTACATCAAACCATTTCTTAAGCTGTTTAATCAGAATCATCAAGTTTTCTTATTTCTCTTAGACACGTTTATCAAAGGCTAATATTTTCGATCTACTATGATAACATCAGATTCAAATTTGGGGGTGTTTGCGTTTTTTTACTAATACCCAATTTTTCTCTTTCTGGGAAAAAGTCATCGAATTTTTATTGGTTCTTTGACTCGCCATTCTTCTTTCTTTTGGCGCAAGTATGTGGTGTGCGTTACAGGTAACGATGAGTCATGACATCATTTTTTCCCAGAACAAGTTTGTTCTTATCAGTTGTGCATGCAACAGAACACGGTGTTTTTTTATTATTGTGAAATCATTTTCATAAAAGAGAAACATGTCAAACAAAACGAATTCCGGAACTCGTGGAGGCTATAGATCCAGACCAAATAACCATGGTTCGCCAAGTCCCATACCAGCGGCTCGGCCTTCACAAACAAGTAGAGTTTTTTTCTTTTTCTGAACTCAAATATGCCTTCGATTTGTGTTGATTTTTAGAAGATAGTCGACCAGAAACTCTAGTATTGACGCCTAGAGAACAATTTCTGAATGACGAAATCAGTAAAATAATTTTGACACTTCACAAAAACAAACAGTTCGTTTCGCCTGTAACTGTAGAAACTCAGTTGCTAAAATCTTTCGGTGTGAAGCAGTTGAGAGATCTTCGAGTCGATTTGACTCATTTGGTTCCCTTGAATAATTTGAGAAGTCGAATTAAAGCAGTGAACCTCTACATTCAAATATTTAAACAGCTGTTCAATATTTGTACGTTACATGAATTTCGATCGAAGATCGAACAATTTTTGGAGACTCAAAATTATGACGACCTTCATTTGGGTCCCCTCGAAGCCAATCCAGATGTGATCCAATTATTCAATTACAAACCAGTTAATGCAGATGATCCTGTTCCACAAGTGACCACAGGTGAAGTCGTGCAATCGTTTATCGAATTTTCGGATCGATTTAACGAAGCGCGAGAGACAATCTTTGACAATTTTATTGTTCATTTGGTCACAAAATATGAGCTACAATCAATTCATGAATTGGGTCTCTTTTGTCGTTCATTTCCATATCTGCTACAGGTTAGCTTTTTTCTTATTCTTTTGTGGAATTCAAAACAATTTTTCTCTTCGTTATTAGGTATCAGGAAAAGTTAGAAGAGATATGCGATCTCGGGAAACGCAAATTTTTCGAGATGCATTGGATCAAGTTGTCACAAAAACGGAAGAAAATCTAAGAAGAATTCGAGAGCAAATTTCGACAGAACAACAGCTATCTTCATTTACCAAAAGGATGAGTCCAGCGGCTGTGTTTAATCATTTGCTATCGGTCGTGGAAAAATATTTTCATATCTTGCCCTATCAATCACTGACCTATGGGACTCTGCTGCTATTGAAAAATAATGATCTATTGCGATGTCTACTTAATTTGAGTATTTTTCTGGGGACTATCGAAGAACCTGAAGCACTCAAAGAACAATTGAAGAAATTCTATGTTGATGTGGGTCCCAATCAGGCCTTACAACAATTTGAATTTCTCATGGAAACTCATCGAGAATTCACTGATAAAAAGAAGCTGCAAAAGATCAGTAAAAATAGAAAGAAAATTAAAGAACTGATGCATGAATGGGAACAATCCAACAATCAGCTGGTACGTATCCATGGTCCATTTATGATTATCACGTTTACTGTTTTTCTATGATTTAGACAACTGATAACGCCGTCACTGACGTAGGAAATTTCCGAATGCAGCGTTCTCAATCGCTCGTCTCTTTCGAGACTTTATGTTCCGAACTTTTCCAACATTTGCATCATTTTCAAAGCCTACTAACTGTGAAGCAACTTTCCGCAGTCGAACGATCGCTTTGTGAACATTATCATACGAATAATTTCTCCGATTTATACTACGATATAGAGGATCCAAACCATTTAATCAGTTTGCTCGATTTTCTGCTCAGATTTCGAAACCAAATCGATCCTGAAAACGAATTATTTATTTATGATGAGGCGGGTTGTCTATATGATCCAGAAATGTTGCGATTGTTCGTGCAACAGCTAAATATTTTTAATAGCGCGGCCAGTGAGATGATTCAAGAGCATGCATTGCGTGAAGTTCAACAACAAGCCGAAGCTGAACGTTTGTCAATCGTTGACAAAGCGATTAAACATAGATTCGGTCAATCTATTGGCTTTCGTCAAGTCAAATCGCTGCTGGAGGAAACAAATGAATTCGATTATCGTCGACAACAGTCCATCATTCGGTAGAAACTCTCAATTATACTTTTTGTTGATTGGTTTTCATTTTTTTATTCTAGCTATGAAGAGTCTTTAGTGGATAAAGACACTTTAAATCGTCTAGACATTTGCCCACCATCGATGAATGTCGATGATAATAAATTATGTCAAATCATTTCTACAGCACCAGTGTTAGTTGATCTTCCATCTTGGCTCCAGTGGAACCAATTTTTTCAACCGAAATATGGCGAGTTCAAATCGTTCATTCAGAAAAATCAAAGCATGTTCGATGATCTTTTGTTACTAGAAACATCAACATTGGAATTAGTTCGAATTCCACTAAAAGCCAATCAAAATTCCTTTCAAGAACATTTAAAGAGAAACAATATTCGCCAAGCTGTCGCCGATTTATGTAGTATCATCGTTCAGGAAGGTTCGATCGTTCATTTTTCTTTCAACGTCTTTCAAACATTTATCGAGACTTGGCTTAACCAACTTCGCAGTTTGGCAATCCTGAAAAATGATCTCAAAATTGCATTCAGTTACATTGTGAAGTTTGTTGTCTACCTACCACCATTGATTGGTCAAACACGATTAGTGAAAGAAATGTTTCTCGAGCCATTTGATCGAATCTTTCAAGCAGAATGTCAGACCGAACGGAATCCGCGAGCATCTCTCTGGAGCTACGCCGATCGAACCCAACGAATGAAATTAGAGTACTGGGGTTATCTTTTGGAAATAAACGAATGGAAGAATGAAAGAAAATGGTCTGGAGATAACGATGAAGATGATGATCAGAAGGCAATGGAAAACGTTCAAAAGCCATCAGTTATTTCTAAACGAGGTAAAATCCATTATTCACTTATTTAGTCTATTTCATAACGATTCCATCACTTTTCAGTCGACCAGATAGTTCCCGAGAGTTCTAAGTTAAAATCTGGGACACAGACACCATCGAGTCCGTCTGTGAACCCTATTCAGTCTTTAACAAGAAGTATTTCACAGATATCCACCGAGGCCTTCGAGCACATTGAATCAATTCGAAGAAATTTGGGCGCTGATAATACTTTGAACAGCACGGGACAATCAATCGTCAACAACTTGCACGGTGTCTTGAAGAGAAGTCTCGAAAAACTGTCAACAGATCTTTACTCAGAAGAAGGTCATTTCGTGTTGGAATTGGTTCAGAATGCAGATGATAATCACTACGAAGTGATGACACCTTCATTAACTTTCTTTGTCTCTACGCAACGTATCCTCGTGTGTAACAACGAAGTGGGCTTTAGTCGGGACAATATTTCTGCGATTTGTAACGTTGGAGCATCGACAAAAGGCAAACACAAGAAAGGTTACACTGGTCACAAAGGCATTGGATTCAAATCTGTTTTTATGATTTCGCATCAGCCAGAAATTCATTCTGGAAATTATCACATTCGATTTGATACGAAGAATGGCAAGGAACAAATGGGATACATTTTACCTATCTGGTTGAATACCTACGAAGAATCTCTTCCGGAACCTAGCCGATGGACAACTTGCATTCGGTTGCCATTTCGACCAGATGTTGGAGTAGAAAATTTGATGCAAAAATTTGATAATATCGAAGGAAAAATTCTATTGTTCTTGAATCGACTGAGAGAAATCGAAATCATCAATCAACGAGAGAATATTTTGTCGAGAAGAATCTTTTCTCGTGTCGACTATGCCGATGGAAACATCATCGAATTACAAGAGCAAACAACTGAAGGTACTTGTTCGAAAAATCTTTGGCTAGTCGTGAAAAATTTCATCGAAGTGCCCGAAAACATTAGAAACAAATTAGGCGATCTCAAAGGCCCTGTAGATGAAACAACGATTGCTATCGCATTTCCTCTAAAAGGAATCACTGAAAATTCAACATCAACATTTCCTACACAACCGATCTTCGCGTATTTACCATTGCGTTCTTGCGGTTTTCGTTTTATTCTTCAAGCAGACTTCGAAATTCCAGCGAGTCGACAAGATCTTCGACGTGATAATCTTTGGAACGAATGGTTGAAGTCTAAAATGCCACAACTGATGTACTTAGCTTATCAACAGTTTAAACAGCTGCCCGAATTGATTGCTGATTTGAACCTTATGAACGAACACTATGCTCCGCCAACTGCAATTCAAGCAATCAAATTCTTCCTGAAATTTCTTCCAGCAAGTTATGAAATCGATCCGTACTTTCAACTGTTTGTTAACAGAAGTTTTGAATTACTAGCTGGAGTTGTTGAATTGCCTGTCATCAACATGAGATTGAACGGTAACAAAGAAATCATCTGGGTACCACCCCCGCAGTGTGTCATCGCTAAAGATCAATTCACTCGATCGATGATTACAGAAAATTTGTTGCTCACCCATCGAAACAGTTACTATCTTCATGATGAAGTCGTGGACGAATGTAATGAAAAACTTCTTGTTGCCTTGGGTTGTCGTATCTTGAACGTCGCTGATATTCTTCAACTAATCGAATCATCCTATCGATCCGTCGATCAAGAATATCCAAAAAATGAGGCAACCATCAAACAAGGTGAGAACCGTTAATTGTTATTCTTAGTTTTCATTCTTTGCTCTCATTTTAGCTGCTCAATGGCTGGTTTGTGTTGGCTATTATTTTCAACAACGAGAGAAAAATGAGAACGATATGCTAAAACGCTTGAAACAAGTGAAAATATTTCCGGTGGACTCTCACAAAAATCTCGTTTCTATCGATGAATTTCAAAATAAAACAATCCTTCTTCCATTCGCGAAAACTGACAAATTTGCCAAAAATTTGAGAACCGTTGTTGAAGAAGTCCCTGCCATCGATCCACGATTAATTCAGTTTGTCGAAGAACAACATCCAACTCGTTCGAAACAGTTCATTGATCTTTTGAAGAAATTAGGTAACTAAGACAAATAGTTCTATCACAAACAAACATTCTCTCTCTTGTTCTTAGGCTTTCAAGACAAACCAAATATTCGGAATCTTTATCATGAATATTGGTTACCAACTATGGCTGATCCGAAACTGTGGGCAACTAAATCGAGCGATTTACTCATCGCATATTTCATGTGCATTTTTCAATACATGTATGCAGACAAAGGAAACATCTCTGATATAACTCTGGATCAATTACGAAAGATTCTCTTGGTTAAAACTAGACAGAATAAATTCCTATCGTTGGGATCTGAAAAAAATTTCTTTCATTTAACAAAGACGTATGGAGCAAGATACTCCGCCGAAAATTTACCACTCAACACCGATCAATATCATTTCATTTCTGATGATTATTTTCGAGATTATCGAGAAGAAGAGATCTTCACCAAGCCAAAGATCAGACAAGAATTTCCTCAGTTTCTTTTGGATCTGAAAATTAATGATTTCTTCCAGGTTGAATCAAAAGATATACGTGAGTACTCGATGTTTCAAGATGTTCAAACTAATTTTCGATTGTTTTTTTCTTCATCATTTAGCGTTCGCAGAAGTTGATCAAATGAGAAATACAAAATGGGCGTCATATACCAATGTTTTAACAAATCGATTGTATGATTCGTTTATTATCAGAGATTATATTTGCGAAGAGCTTGAAGCTTTATTCTCATCCAATCCAGATTATCAGCTGTGCGTTAAACTACTAGACTATTTGAACAGTAGCTATTCAGAAATGCAGAACTTTGTGACAGCATCTGTGATAAGATCCCGATTGTTGAAGCAGCCTCAACCAACATCTGAACTAGGACTACCCTCTTCATTTTTACTCTTATTATGGAATCAAGTTTGGATACCCGTAGGAGAAGGAAACTTGATGAAACCAGGCGAAGTGTATTTGCTGAGTCAACCTCAAGACGTATTGCGTCGTTACGTTCCACACATTGATTCTAGTCAAATATCTTTGCGAAAGGATAATCCTCTGATTAATATTTTGGGTATACGACAAGAAATTCCAGCGAGAATTCTTTTCAACTTATTGATGAAATGTTCATGTGATCTTGACGAAGAATCTGTGAATAAGTTGATTCAATCAACCCATCCATCGGAAGCGTAAGTTGAAAAATCAAGACTCGATACAAATCAGAGCGAGTTCTTTCTATTTCAGAATTCCATGTCCATATGAGGATACATTCAAAAAATCTTGCGAGGAACCACTCGATAATATCCGTCTAATTTATAAGTTTCTCGCTGATGATAAAGAAGTTTGTGAACTGTTGTATCGATTTCGTTCTTGGCCGTTGATTTATCTGCCGACAACGGCGAATAAAGGAGATTTTGTCTTTTCTCAAGATGTATATTGGCAAGAATTTTCTTCTGACATTTCTATTTCTGATCCTGCAAACAATTTTAAAGTCCGTTCTGCCATTGGAAAATACTACAAGAATTCAACCTCACTTGAACCCTTATTCATCGAGATTCTTGGTGTTGAAATCCAATCAAACATCGATGATTACATTTCCTTTCTACCCACCATCGAAAGTATTGATCAACGTTGGGTTCTTATATCGGTTCTTGTTCAATTGGCAATCAAAAATAAGCAAGCAAATGACCTTCGAAGTAAGTTAACGGATTGATTTGAGCACATCAAATTTGAGAACAATTTCAATTCTAGTGAAATGTCATAACATTGCGTTCATTCCATGTTCGAGTTCAACTAAACAGTTAGCAAAATATACCGATGATCAATTATTTTTTCCGAACGATCCTGATTTAGCTAAACTATTCGCAGATGTTGTTACGTTAGTCAAATTACCATGTAAGTAATCTAATTCGACCATTTCAGTCGCATCGTGATTTGTACATTTCTTTTTCAGCTTCAGAGGCAACAGTGAACATCGTGCAGTTCTGTTCTATTTTCAAAATAAAAAATCTCACTAAAGTGATTCGAACAGACGTTATAGTAAATAACGAAGAAAAGTCAATGATGATCTCTGACTTTTACGAGAAATCCATTGATCTTATCCAGGATTATTTATTCAGCAAGAATCTCATCGATCAAGATCGATCGAAGAAATTGGCTGAAATGTTTAGCAAGATCCGTTTCCTACATGTTGATAGTATTCGACTCACTCATTGGTATGGAGATACGAATCGTGAATTACCAGCAACACTATCTGCTCGTGACGCTTACATAGATGAACAATCAGCAAAATTTTACATATTAAAAAATTTCGAGAACTCTGAAATGCGTTACATTCGAACGATGGCAGAGTTTTTGGTTGACAATGCAGATGGACAATCAAAGTTAATCAGTTTTATCGAGGAACTCGTCCGTTCGTATCAGAGAAATCCAAAACAAGGCTTGAATACTTATCGAATCGCATTGAAAAACTCATACGAACCCAAATGGTGCATTCCAAAAGAGATTGTAGAAGAGCAACAAGTCGAGAAGAAACAACAAGAACCAAAGAAGCCGATTGAAATTAGCGAGGAAGAAATTAGAGCTCTTGCTGCTGAAGAACCGATAGGACCAAAACCGGTGGAGAAAACAACAGAGGACACGACAAAGCAAGTCTCCAAAACGAGTCAACTGTTGCAATTACCTTCCGAAGGAGGAGATAGGAATGCTCATGGGAACTCAAATTCAACGGAACGAAAAGTTTCAAGCGAAAATTTCATTTCGCATTCGCTGAATTCACCGAAGCCACCGAACCCTCAGCACGAGAAGTCAGAGACTGACGAAAATACTGCAAATCCAAATTCAAAGCCAGCACCAGAACACTTACCGCCTCGATCAATGCCGGACTCGATGCCACTACCGAGAAATGATTTAGCGGAAAAAGTTCAAAGCATCGTCATTAAGAATCTGAATGATTTGGATTTTTCACTATTCGCATCGACGACAAACAAAGCCATCAGTATTCCAAATTTTGATACAGATGGTCACGCTGGTCGTGTCGGTGAACAAATTGTTTTTCAAGTATTGAAACGTGAATACTCGACAGCCAAAGTGACTTGGGAGAATGAAATAACGGAATCCATGAGTCCCTATGATATTTGCATTGAACACGAGAATGGTGAAAAAGAATTCATCGAAGTAAAAACAACGAGACTTCAGAACGAAAATTCTTTCTTTGTCTCTGGTCAGGAAGTGAAATTTTTCTTGGATCATCCAGAAAATTCGAGTATCTACCGGGTTTATCATGCTGACCCGATTGAATCTTCAACAATCACGCAGATCAATCGAATTAAAGACAATTTAGATACACAAAATTTAAAGCTCGTTATGACACTTTTTTCCAAACCAAATCAATCCAGTTAAGGAAAATTCTCATTCGAACAGAATGAATAATTTCGATTATTTTAATTTTATTAAAACGCTTTCAATAAATTTCACTTTGTTTGATCGATCATTTCATTTATAAAAACTCGAAAATAAAAGACATCTCTTTTACTCTTCAATACCATTTTCAATTAAAATGACTTTATGCAGAATCGTCGAATCTATTGCTATTGCGACAGACACACTGTTGGGATCTAAGTTTAATAAATCCGTTTCTGTATACCTAATCGTAGAAAAACAGTATAAGTCAAAGAATAATGAAATATCACAGAAAAATAGAACGTACATTATTTTTACTATCACTGCATGCATCGGGAGATAATTTCAAAAATTTGTATAATCATAGGAAACGTTCAGAAAAATATTGTTTATTCAATTTCAAACTAGAATTATGCTGTTATCAATGACTAGGTAGTTTTTTATCAACATTAGATCTCACTCGAAATAACGATAGATTCCATCTGCAAATAGATGCTTTATGACTGTGTATTTTTGTCTGTAAGATTTTCGAAAATTAAAATGAACTATTTAAAGCATAAATTGCGCAGACAACACAAATTATACAAAATACAATTTTTTTCAATGTATATTCACCAATTTTCTTCTCTCAAACTGAATCATCGGCATTGTTTGCTATTGTTTCTTATGGTGCTACTCGGTTATTGAATAGTCCATTTCGTTTTAATCGAATAAGAAGAGAAAAAATCATATTTACTAATAACCGTACAGTGAGTAAATAGACTTTCGTTAGTCCACTAATCAATCCAGTCATTGTTGTTATTATATACACAACATTTACTCGATGGACATATGTTGCTGAACATTCTTCCGGTTGACATCCATTAAAATAATCTTCATAAGACGTCTTATTATTCCATTGTTCAATCATCAAATTTGATAGAGAAGAGCTATTGATTGATAATTTTAACGACTTTATTAATTCTTGTAAACAAAGATCATCATACAAACAACGCAAATTACTTTGTAATAAAGCCTCAACTAAATAGCAACCAACGTAAAGGCCTACAGAAAAAAAACAAGAAAAGAAAATTCATCATTTTGACTTAATTTTATTTAAAATTTACCTGGGACAGGAAAAAGTCTAGCAGATCAATCCTACTCATAAATAATTAATTGTTAAATACAATATGGATTTTTTTGACAATCACAATTTATTCCACTTAAACTTAGATTATATGCTTGATCTCTTCGATCATAAATATATTCATAAACATAATTCTCGTACTCAGCGGTGGCGCGAGCGGGAGAGGAGGGGAGGAGAGTATGCCCTTCTGCTTTTGAAAAATATGAGTGATATTTTCTCCCATTTTAGGTTTTGGTTTCTCACATTTTGAGAAGTACTTTATCTCATTTTGGTCTCTAGTTTCTCCCACCTTCGGCTGGAAAACTAGTTGCTGAGGTACAAAAGTCTCCTGAAAACCCAGTTGAACACCTGTTTTTTGCTCTTCAGTTTTGAATTTTTAGAAAATTTGGGTAACCTGTACAGAAAATTTCTCGAAAAACCGATAAACATTCGAGATGCGAAATTTTTTTTTCTCATTCTCCCATTTTAAGATTACCCCCTGCCTCTGCCTGCAGCTCTTCGCGCCACCACTGCTCTTACTGATGATAATATTGTGGATAGAGTGTTAAAATTGAATCTGATCATAATGCTGATATTACCATATTTGATGATGACATATTATTAATTAAATAAAGGGAACTTAAAAATGAACGAGCGGTATTTTTAATGAATTGATCAATTATTTGAGATATTTCAGCATCAAATCGGTGTTGTGAAAGAAGATTTGGTGTTATATATGTTGTGAAATTGAATGTCAATAATCCTATGTTCACTGTTTGATTTGATACTTGACAGAATGAAGAGACTAATTGAAATAATAGACTAACTAATTAAATTTTTGGATTCGAATATAATCATCACTATTTCGAATTGTTATTTAGACCAACCTTGAATACACAATGAGTTTTGACTATAAAAATGGAAAATCTGAATGAAAATAATGTCGAGGCCTGAAAATTGTTATATGTTGTAATCGGGACAAAGATTAATTAGAAATTGTGATTCTGTCTTAATGTATATCCTAAAATATTTATTCTGTTGATTTTAGATATGAGTTGAAATGAAATGATCTATAGTTAATACTAAATGTGTGAATATTACTAATTCGAATATCTTCGAAAAAGGACCATTATAATAATCGGTGGATAGTGTGGGTGTGGATATGGGTGTGGGGTATGGGGTGTGAGGTGTGAGCGTGGATGTGGATGCTGTTCTTATCTTCACCCACACCCACACCCACACGCATCCATCCACACACACCCGCACCCACACACACCTACACTCATACCCTTTACATGCATCAAAAATATAAGCAAGACGTCGACGATATTGTCCTTTCGTTTTTTATATAATATCAAGTATTTTTGGATCATTTAGATCGACCAATAATTTCGAACAATGAAAACAAACGCATCGTAAAATTTTCAATATTTTCGATAGGAAAGCAACATTATATACGGACTTGATCACTATCAGAAATCAATAGAGTTTATCTATTTAATTAACTCTAAGACGAAATAAATACGGACACTCAATATAACCAAAATGTCCCAGACATTTAATATAAGAACCAGTACAAGTATGACATTTTGAATATTGATTAGGTGGATCCTGTCGTGGATCCATAAGATCTGGATTTTTTGCTTTTCCTCCTTCAAATAAATCTGCATATTTAATCGGTGGATTTGTCACCGACAATCATCGAATTTCATCAGGAGATAAAATTCTGAATTGTATGTAGCTCACATTATGATGTGGCGCCATCGAATCAATTATTTGTAAATTTAAGTAAACCATTTCATTACTTTAAACTCAATACTACAAATGACATAACTACATCTATACTATAAACATCTTAGTATACGATGACAGAATCTTACCAATGATGCATGAACTGAATGAAACACGAAAATACACTAAAGTTTACCCCACATTTTCCCTTCAACGTTGAAATATTCTAAATAAAACCTGACACACAATAACACACTATTAGCGGCTCGACAGTTACGCAAGGATAATCAAACTTCAATCGATTTCCTTTACACCGAATCCATCGATACCTTTCGACGGATGATGTTGCTTCTCTGCAAGTCTTCTCGATAGTACAACCATTCGCTGATCTGTTTAGTGTCTATATTGAAAAAACTATGACATTAAATCGCAAACATTTATCAATTTTCTTTGTCGAGACTACTATTATTGATAAAAGTTGATTTTTATGTAGAGATTCGAAAAAATTTAACATACTTTTGCATAAGCTTCTGATGTATAAAAAAGATTAAGAAAAACTTTATAGGAAGTTTTCTTCTGTAATTTCAGAAATCTACATATTTGTAACTGTTTGAAAACGTTCTGATACACTCGAAAAATTAAGGTACAGTATTGAACAAAAATAAAGTTCCATAGGGTAGTGATGTAGACAAAGGGGATTACAGAGATTGGTCTTCCCCACCCGCTCCGAAAAAACTTCAGTTCGTTTTTAACATTAAGTGAACTATTCTTGAAATATAATGTGTTTGGACTTACATGTTTATTTATCAGTTAGCGTGAACTGTTTGTTTATACAGTAAAACATACAAAGTATAAGTATCTATTTTGTATCGAATAAGAGGGAGGGTGACAGAATACAGGTGTACAATCACACTAACATCCACATCCACACCCTAAAAAAAATTATGTAATAGAGTAGGTGATTTAGTAGTTGTATATAATGATAGCAATATTGTTTAAGAATTGAATATTGAAAACATAATTGACGAATTTGCGAACTCCGGATGTAAAATAAATTTTACTATTGACTTTAATTAACTGTCGTATATGTTATATATTAGATAGTGAAACACATTAAAATTTTTGAAAAAAACATACTAAAAATCAATGGAAATAGATTTAGTACCGCCCTCAAAAAAATCTTGACTACGTGCCTGCCGTAGGGATACGAAAGTCTTACGAGACGGCTTACAAGCCACTCGAAAAATCGAGTTATACAGGTATTAGTGTGAATGTGAGTACTGGTGTGATTGTTGAATTACTAATTCACGAGCGCATACACATACAAATTTCAATATACTTAACAGTCACAGTTTTCTTTGAGTAAAATATCAAATATAAAGAAATATAGGTGTCAAATAAATATGATTGAAATTAAATAGTTACAAAACTTCAACATATTTTTTTGAAAACTTTCTCTCAACTATTTATTCTATCGCTTGAGTTATGTTTTAATGTATTGTTTTTTTAGAAAATTGTTACAAATAGTGAATTGATAATGTGACTTATTCTTTTGCTTGTTCGTTTTCGTTCTCCTTTGAGAAAAAAAAATAACACGCGTTATACATCATGTAAAAAAAAGGTAAAATGTACCCAGTGGCATATATTAAAGTTTGTTAATTGTTCAATTTCAAAATGTTCAGTAAAAAAACGAATTTTTTAGAAGAATTGATAATCACATGCGCATATTTTATTTATTTATTTAAATGTAAAAAGAATAAGTGAAATACAATGTTGAATCTTTTTTTTTACATGTTCGTCTTTTATGATTTTGATCCTAAAGGTTTTGCTGGGGAATCTCTTGGACATTTGCATCGATCAGCCACAGGAACATCTTTCAATGTTTGTTCAATATGTTGACCACAGCCTCGCCATGTTGGCTTGCCACATGTTTCACAAGTTACTTTCAAACACATTGATCAGGAGAGTTGTAATGGTAACTGAAGAAAACTTATATGCTTTTCTTTCTGTCTTGTTATGTCGGTTTATTTTCTCGACTTATATACAATGTTTTGGAGAGAATGGAAAGAAAAAAATATATATGTAGCCATTCTTTTCCTCTCCTTCCTAGCGGTAACGGCAACAGGAGTTTGGTAGACAGAACACAAACGGGATAAACACAAAAAAAATGTCCTTGTGATGCAAATCATGACATAGCAAATTTCTAAAATTTTTCGATAGAATTATCCAATGAATAAGAAACTGTAGATTTGTGCGATTTTTAAAAATTCAAAACAAAAATTCAACTTTATTTCGTTAAATGAAATATATGTCAGTAAAATATATAAGAACTTTACGTTAAATATTATTTTGTGACTGATATCAACTCGTCTAAAACAAGTCTTGCGATTGATCATAGATATTTTGAAAGAGATTTCCACACACTCAAGAATTTTTTTCTATAAAGTTTGAACAATTGTTGAAGACAAATCTATTTTTGTCTTTAGCTAAAAAGAAATGAATATCGGCGAAATACATTAAATTATTTACGATATCAATTAGTTCCTGTTTCTGAAAGATCAGTAAATGAAAGGTTGTTGTTGATTATATTCAACGTAGAATACGTAAAAGATGTGGCAACAAAAATAAATAAAATACTACATTACATGGAAAAGACAAAGTTTAAATATGTGTTACTATGCCATCAGTTATAATTATCGCATGTGTAGTATAGTCATCGCATGAGCCAATAGGAAAAAAAGGAATGACTAATAGAATTCTCTAATAGGTACGTTGACCTGCGACTCTTGAAAATAAAAAAAACATGAGTTTTATTCAAATTGATAAATAACAAGCGACTTGTAAATCAAAAGATGTTTTTTTCTAGAATGTGGTAGTAAGGTGAAGGTTTTCTGTCATTTCTTACACGAAAATTTTACTGACAGCATTAATGTTAGGATTTTTAATTGCAAAAATATCTCAAAATAAAACGAGTTTCATCGTCATTGTCTTTTAAATATTATTGTCAATAATATCAAACCTGAAGCTTGAATTTAATTATTGAATAGCTCTCTTTCAACTGGGTATTTGTAAAATACGCTCTAACCCACTCCAACCGCCGTTTAACTCGAAGTTAGTATCAATCGATAGAGCTTAGAATTCTTCACTCAGAAGACCCCACTCTAAGCCATTTTCTTTAAACAATCTTTGATAAAAGAATCAAATACCATTTTCATGGGTCCACTCCAATCCACTCTAAGCCACCCCAACCCACTCTAAGCCACCCCAACCCACTCTGAGCCACTCCAACCCACTTTGACCCACTCTAAGCCAATTTTTTGCGGGAAAATGAGTAACTCATAATAATAAACAACTTAGTGATTTATTTTAGCCCTATCTACCTTGACATCACTTTTCCCATTGTTCGAGGTCAAAGGTGAAAGGTCAATGGTCAAGGGTCACACCTGATGGTAAAATTTAGCGTTAAATTTATACGTCCAATATCAGATTTTTGAAGTAACGGTGCGTAGGTTCAACAGTCTACGAAAAAGACAAAGAGAGTTTGTTTGAAAAATCTGATATTGAACGTATAAATGTAACGCTAAATTTTACCATCAGGTGTGACCCTTGACCATTGACCTTTCACCTTTGACCTTTGACCTCGAACAATGGGAAAAGTGATGTCAAGGTAGATAGGGCTAAAATAAATCACTAAGGTGTTTATTATTATGAGTTACTCATTTTCCCGCAAAAAATTGGCTTAGAGTGGGTCAAAGNGAGAGACTTTGTTCAAAAGTTCTGAAATTTTTTATGAAAGCTAGTTTGGTTGAGGTCTTCGTGTGGGTAAAGTTTCAGGTTAAAATTCGAAAAAATATATTTGCTGGAAAACTGGGGTCCTGCAGGAAAAATTCACTAAAAATTCAATAGCTCAGTCCCAGAGGTCCATGCACCCAAACCAAGATAGACTTTTTCACTGCTCACTAGGACCTATCGAATGGCAATGGTCCTGAACGAAAAGCGATTTAACACCTGGAGAGGTTCCCTCGTTAGCTTGTTTTGAAAAGCATTTCTAAGTGGAAAATGAACTGAATCAATCAGTCGTTGAAATGATTGGAGATTATGCTACATAGATCGATAGTTATTTTCTCAAGCAATAATGTGAACGTGGTTAGATTTTCGAGTACTATTTGTATTGAACTTCATTTTTTATATTCTTCTCATTAAAATACAGTATTTCTAGAAAACAAAAATTTTTCAATAGGTTAGACTTTTTTTGTTGTTAATGAAACGCGTATTTTTGTCCTTTTGGTATTCATTTAATTATGTAATAAGCAGTTACTTAATAAGAAGGAAGTAGTAGATTTGAACAAGAAGGCTCTTTCTAGAAACTTTGTTTTTATATTAAAGGTCTAGGAGGGGAAGGGATCACGGAATGCGGTTTTTACCTGGATTTCCTTTATAGATGAGCCGAAATGATAATACAACAACAAGAAATATACAAACATCAAATGATAATACATCAACAATAAATACTAGTAATCATGAAGAAGTTCAAGTATTGACAGTGAACACAGATGAACAAGTAAATACACAAGAACAGATAAATATAAATGAACAGATAAAAAAGTTACCGCTTTTTTTATCAAAGTCAGATTTGATAAAATTTAACTTTTTCCACTTAGAATGATCGCCAGTTCTATTCGTTCAGTTTCATCTCTCTCAATAATTTTTATTCTAAAGAACAAAGTTATTGGCGCATAGCTTGAAAAAAAAGTTACCGTCCTATAGTTATAAAGCAAATCTTTTTCTGAATTTGAAAACGATGGAATTGAGATGAAATAATTGTTGATCCTCTGCCTGAACATCGAATATGTAATAGAGAAGATTCTTATTAATGGACAGATCTTCTTTTAGAATAGACAATTAGCAAAGAAGAATTCATTCATGTTTCTTATTCGTTAATTTCTCTTGTTCTGTGCTTTATTGATTTTAGTAGTTTGTTAGCACAAGTCACATCAATTTATGTCACTCAAGGTTTTAATGCAATCTAAATGGGTATGATTTTTAACTAAAAGCAAGACTCTTGCTCAACTTATCCTGTCGTCTCATAGTCGTATGGGGAATCTCATTTATTCATCCACATTAGAAGTTCACAGAAGACTTTAGAAATCTTACGAATCGTTACAAAACGACCGTCTATATCTGAGAGTTGAATGATAGTTAAGTTCTTCGTTCCTAACTTTAATGACTAGGCAAAGGAGAATATGACAAAAATTGATTTATCAAATGATTCAGTTTTTTACAACTAATACATTGGAGGCCAGGAAGTTTCTTTACTAAAGTTTGTCCTGATAAATTCAAATGTTTATTAAGAAGTTTCCTGCCTGTGTGAAAAACGACATTTTTACCATTGACTTAATCCAAGTAAATATTACACATAAATTATATATTTATATATGCTTAATATTAGTTTAATTCTTACTTTTAGTTGAGCTGATAATCGTTGTACATAGGATTCAATAGCTTATTCAAACACAGATAAAAACAGTAGTTTTTTTCCGCAATTCTATTTTGAATAGTTGTAAAAGTGAGATAAAGCAGGAATATAGACATGTGCTTCGCTAAAAACACGATCGTCTAGTCTATAAAATTTAATTGTCTGTTTTACTTTATAGAAAGTTTTTATGTGAATTTTGGCTTCATTCTTTATTTATTTTCTTCTCATTACTTAAGTCATATTCTAATTTGTTGCTAGACACCATCGCCAAATACTAATTATTCAGTTTCAACAAATGAGTCAGAAGCAGTAACTCCAATTGAATGTCCTCCTCCTTCAAATACAAACTCTAATCGTATAACACTTGATAAACTTTCATCATTGGAATCGATAAATGATTTGACAATTCGACAATTAAAAGAAATTCTTGAAAATAATTTTGTGTCGATTGTTGGATGTGTTGAAAAAAAAGAATTACTAAATAAAGTTGAATTACTTTATCGAGATCGAAAACAACAAAAAGAACCAAATACCAGTGGTAAAATCATTTTGTTTTCTTATATATTCTATTCATTTGTTATTATTTCGTTTTTTCTATTTAAGTTCCTAGTGAACAATCAGATGAAAATCTATGTAAAGTGTGCATGAATGCGCCTATCGATTGTGTCTTTCTTAATTGTGGTCATCTATGTACATGTGTGAACTGTAGTCAGCAATTATCTGAGTGTCCTTTATGTCGATCATTTATTATACGTGCCGTACGTGTTTTCAAAGGTTGAAAAGATTCGTACTATTGTTATGGATTTAATATATAGTCTAAACAAAATTTTCACCATTGTCTTATATTATCTATTTAAAACAAAAGCTACGAAAAAATATTTTTGATCATTTTATTTTCCGCTGTCACAAGAAAAAATTGTTAAGACTTTTGTTTTAATTTCATTTTAGCTTTTATTATAGTTTCTATGATTAAGAAACCAGTGAAATATTTATGATTTTTATTTTCTTAAAAGAAATAAATGATTTATATAAATAGTGATATATTCCTTTAAATGAATCTTAATAGCAATTATACGTAATTTTATTGCTGTTTATTTAATTTCGTGTACTCAGATCATATAAATTTATTAGAATTATGCCTACATTTGTACAAGACAGATTTCCATCTGAGGTTGTGAGTGTAGATGTGGGTATGAATTTGAGTGAAGAAAGGATACCGACACACACAACCCACATACCCACACCCTTTGTTTGTTTATCGAATAAAATATAAAGCCCTCTCGATAGTTTAGTACTCATTATGATCTATACGTCTATTTGTCATAGGTTATATTGTTCAACACACAAATAAATTGATTTTTGAGAAAAAGAAAAAGTCAACAGAAATATTATGTTCTTATGGACATTATTGTTAAATAAAATAAAGTAGAGCACTTCTTCATTTGCTTTTAGATGAATATTCGTATTATTGATCAAGTCTAACCATTAGAAACGACAACTTGTGCTCATTGTTTTCGTAATCGAGCTCCACTAAGACCGTACCCATTTCAAAAACTTCCACCCGGTTCTATTCGTCCCGAGGGTTAGCTAAAACTACAACTAACAATGCAATTAACAGGTCTCAATGGACCATTGACAGATATATCTGATTATTTTATTTATGATGAATGTGGTTGGATAAATCCAAATAAATTCAGTAGGGAAAAAATGCCTTATTGGTTGCATGGTTTTGCTGATCTTGCTTTCGTAACACGTGATTTAAATCCGTTAAAGTCCGCTCAACGTTGAATTGATGGCATTCTCAATAGTCAACAATCGGATGGATGGTTTGGTCCTAATATTCTTAGAAAATCACTCCAAGATCAACCTGATTTGTGGTCTGCTATTTTATTAATTAATGGTTTTCGATTATATTACGAATATTCGAATGATGATCGTGTTATAAAATGTCTTGTTAACTATTTTCAGTATGTTAACAAACAATCAAATGAAATATTTCAACGTGAATGAGCATATACTCGATGGTCGGATAATATTGATTCAATTATTTGGCTATATAATCGAATAAATGATACAGATTGGTTAATTGATTTAATTCGTAGAATTCATTTTTCATTCAGCTAATTAGATGGATAATCTTCCTACAAGATATAATGTTAATATTACACAAGGCTTTCGTGAACCTACTCTATATTCATTTGTTATCAATTCTAATGATCTACGTTTTATTCAAGCTACTAATAATAACTATGAAAAAGTTATGAATGAATTTAGATAATTTCAGGGTGGAGGTTTGCTGATGATGAAAATTGTCGTCCGAGTTTTTCGGATCCACGACAAGGTTTTGAAACATGTGGAATAGTCGAATTTATGCATAGTTTTTCAATACTTACTCATATAACTGGTGATAGAAAATGAACTGATCAATGTGAAATATTAACAATGAATTCTTTATCAGCTGCACTTGATCAACGTCTTGCACGTTCTACTCATTATATAACATGTCCTAATTGTAGTCAGTTAAATAATAAATTAAAAATGAAAGAACAATTTCAAAATCTATTTTCAATGTTAGTATATATGTCTGATGTTTATCATTATCGTTGTTGTGCGTATAATTATGGCTTTTGATTGCCTTACTATTCGGAAGAATTATGGTTAGCAACATGGAATAATGGTTTATGTACATCTACGTGTAGTGCATGTCAAGTAACAGCTCTAGTTGGTCGAGATAATCCAACGAGCGTAACGATTGTTGAACAAAATGAATATCCATTTGATGATACAATTTATTTTCGTTTTCAATTACCAATACCAACACAATTTAATGTGTATTTACGTATTCCTCAATGGTGTCAAGAGTCAATTGAACTTTATATTAATGGAGAAATTATTTTCAATAAGAAACCATCGACTAATGATTCATATTTAGTTCCAGATCGAATATGGTGTGATGGAGATTTACTGATGTTTAAAATTCCAATGACAGTTCAAATGAAAATTTGGTTAAAAAAGCATAATTCTGTATCAATTTATATGGACTTCTTTCTTTTTGCGTTGAATATTTATGAACAATGGAATCGTATTGGTGGTAAATATGATTGGCCTGAGTATGCAGTATTACCTAAATCACCTTGGAATTATGGATTAATATTGTGAAATAATTATCAACCATTGATTCGGCATCGAATTAAAACAGATGATAATGTGAATCCATTGAATCGTGCTCATGTACCTTTACAACTTGATGTTCGAGCTCGATGTATTCCAAGTTGGAGAGTCAATGATCAGAATGTAGTTGAACTTCTGCCACAATTATCAGTTACAAGTTCAGAAGCTGATGAATCGATTCAACTTCTATCGATGGGTGTGGCTCGACTTCGTATCACAGCTTTTCCTACTATTGCGATATAAATATGTGTTAATTTCAATATTAATTTCGATTATTTGTTTTTTCATTAAAGATTCTTGTTTCAACAAGAAAAAGATTTCCTAAGTTCATTTTTTAAGTTTATTGTCAAAGGAAGACAAGCAACTATCAACCAGTCATAAAAGGAAAAAAAAACTTATTCATTATCAACAATTGATGTCTTAATATTGTTAGTGAGATTAGCAACTCTTATGAAATATTATTTTGTTCAACACCGTATTTTGTCGATCGCTTTCTATAATCTGCTTTGGACTTTTTGCTTTATCTATATTTAGTGTTCGAAGAAGACGTCTTAAAACATTTTTATCGAGAAAATATTCAGATTTTTATCAGCGTAACAAAACAATATATATATATACATATATATATGTGCTTGCAAATCTTTTATAATGTAATATATGTTTTTCTTGTAAAAATCATCTGACAGCTCATGAATACTAGTTCAATGTGTACAAAGAATATTTGTTTAATAACGGGTGGGCCATAAATAACTGCCCTCTTAGTATTTTTAAGATTTCTTCTCTATTATTCCCTTGATGAAAACACTTTTTTTCATCAAAAGATAGCGCTTGAAATTCTCTACAAAACCATGTTTCACTAGGCTCAAAAACAGTCCTAAATATAATTAAAAGAAGACGAAAACTAAAGACATACAAGCAGCTATTAAAAATAACTAACGGGTGTTCCATAATAAGTGGCCACAATTTGCATTTCATATTTTAATCTAAATACGTTTTATTTTAAAAAAAACATTCTACAAGATGCAGTACGAAAAGCTCTACAATCAACAAACTTAAGTTTATTTTAATTGTATACTTTTTCTTTTCGAAACAATGCAAAACTATGTGCAACCAATATTCGCCATTGTCAAAAAATCATTTTTTTTACACGAACGAGAATTTCTTTTTCTTATTTCATCTTATTATCACCTAGTATGTTTCCTTAAAAAAAAAATATACCACAACATTCAACGTAGAAAGCTCTACATTTTACAAAGAAAAATTTATTTTATTTGTGTACTTTTTATATTGGAAAAGATTCCAAATTCTGCATGATCAGTTTATCACAATGAAGAAAATTGGTTGCACATAGTTTGCTTTGTTTTGAAAACAAAAAGTGTACAATTAAAATAAACTTAAGTTTGTTGATTGTAGAGCTTTTCGCGGTGCATCTTGTGGAATATTTTTTTTAAATAAAACATGTTTAGATTAAAATATGAAATGCAAAATGTAGCCACTTATTATGAAATACTCGTTAGTTATTTTTACAGCTCTTTGTATGTCTTTAGTTTTCGTCTTCTTTTAAACATATCTAGGACTATTTTTGAGCCTAATGAAACATGATTTTGTAGAGAATTTCAACCGCTATCTTTTGATGAAAAAAAGTGTTTTCATCAAGGGGAAAATAGACAAGAAATCTTAAAAATACTAAGAGGGCAGTTATTTATGGCCCACCCGTTAGATACTAATACAAATTTTATTTTCGTTGTTAGATATGCATGAACATAATGCCTATTTTTCGATAATATTCAATGTATCAAATCAACTTTGAATTATTCATTTTGGAATAATAAATTTTTTTATTGTCTGTTATTGCCTGACATAATCAATTGTTTCAAACACAACTGTTCAACATTAAAATTAGATAACAATTTACAAACAAAAATGAAGACAAATATGTCATTTCATAGTAGTTCAAATTAAGAAAAAAATTCTGATAATTATCGAGACAAATTTTTGTCACTAGTTTATGATTCCAAGCTAGGTGTGTCGGAGTTTCCATTGTTTCTTTTCCTATCTGCAAGGAACAGGAATCCATCTGTAATTTCACTTTCATGATGTTTTGCTGATGTTTACACAACTAGATATACTTATTCTTTCAACTTGGGTTAAGTCGGTATGGATTTCAGGGTTCTTGGAAGCGATAATCGGGAAGCCCACTTAACAGTTCGTTTCCACGTGCTTTAGCCATCTTGTGATTTTTAGACATACTCATTCTTTCAGTTAGTATCAAGTCACTAGGGGTTCTCAGCAATGGAAGCCGAAACTTACACAACTATGTCAAGCTTCGGGCATGGATATATATACATATAAGATGACACAATGATTATCTTGATTGACGATTCAAATAGCATCAATTTCATCAACATGTAGTTCCTTCAGATTTGCAAATTACTTTCACACAGGCTCTTTATTGATCATCACAAGCAACAGTTCATTCATTATGATTCCATGTTGTATTGGTGAATACTCCATCATCTGACAAAGAAAGCGTTCATCGTGAAATTAAAAATTCTAAAAAAAAATAATGTGCAAAACACATGTTGATGTCTGATGAATTAATAGCTTGAAGTAAATCATATGATTTTGAAACAAAAATGCAACAGCAATATGCAACAGAGATAAGCAAGACAGCTTAACAGTAACTTCACTGGATTTCATTAAAAATAATTTGAAAGACAAATTTTTTGAAACATGAATATCAAATATACACTGTCGTTAATATCTTGAATTTGGACATCGAGTCTCTTTTTAACATGATCTAAAAAGTTCCAATAATTACTGATTAAGATAACAGTGAACTTATTTCGTGGATGCAGTGTTACACTGGACTATTACAAAACAAGATATGAATAGAAAAAAAACTAGACTCTACTATTCAGTTATGTATATGGATGATCACAAAAATTCAAATTCAATATTCTTTGAGTTTTGCTCCCGCTTTAGTTTTTTTTTGAAAACTTTAAGCTTTATGATATTTTATTTTGGATTATTCTGCATCCCTTCATAAATATGGAATCTTTCGAAAATTATAGTGCATGATATCTGCTAATGTACTTGCACTTCTTAGAGAAGAATTAGAATATTTTATATTAAGCTGTTAAAGTCCAACATTCTTCTACTTGTAAGTAACGATAGTCCATGCAGCACGATAGTTTGCATGAGTCAATATGGCCATTGTTCATCTTCAAGTCAGAAAAAAAAACACATACGAATATTCACGAAGATACAAATGATGAATCATCAAACATTCACCAAAGTCGCACATATCGACTTTGACTCAGGCTCGGTCTCGTCCATAGCTATGTACAATATGTCAATAGAAATAATTAAAAGTGAGTTTAAAAACAACGTTTTCAAGTAGAGACTGCAATAGGTCATTCTAAAATGGAGTAAACAACTCAAACACTGAGCGACTGCAGACGCCTTGAGCAGCATTCTATATTGAGAATCTCTTGAAATGGAATTCAGTCAGCATCAATGTATTAAAATAGTACTCCACAATTCTCAAGTAATGTTTAGATAATGGTTCAAATGAACTTCAAATTCTCTGCATAGTGATGTGGAATATGATTCATGTGATTGTAGATGAAAAAGTTTGCCGATTCGCCTATCCAAAAACGTCTGCTAGTCACCGCATTGTGTGCTCAACTGTTGATCAAGGTTTTTTTAGTCTCTTGATTTCTAGCTTGTTCAAATAGTAGATGAGATATTGTCATCATACCATCAAGGAAAAAAATTTCATATGAATGATTGCTTATCGAGTTAGAGACAAATATAGAAATTGTTAACATTTTTCTTTGCTTCAATTATTTGCTAGATAGATGTATTTGGCCGATTATTATCAAAAGAACTACTTAATTAATACAGAAGAGTCTCATGAATTACTTTTGATAAATTAAATATGATACAAGCGAAAAGAAAACTGCATATTTTGATTAGATTCATTTCCTAGCAGTAAAGTGACAGCGCTGTAATAGTTTATAACTAAAATGTACTAGAACAAACTATAAAAGAGTATCTGAAGAACAATTTCAACTAAGCAATGTGCTTACACATTTCAAAATAGTAAAACAACATCACTAGAAGGCAGTTTACAATTAAAAGTCATTTTCACTTTCTCGAATCTGCTCGATCATTCTATAAATGAATACTTCGTTATGACAGACAACGATAGCTGAATTCACAAGTATATCTTTTGTTTGGCTATCTTCAAGAACTGTAATGTTATTTTGTAGGCTATATAACTGATACATAGTCAAAAATCATACTGACAACTTCTAGAAGATGAATGTCAGAGATGAAACTTTTTATTAGTGATAGTTAAGCATAAATGTAGGTTAATAAGCAATAAAATAAAGCTATCAAATGGACTGCTAAAACTAAACGACATGCTGTGTTTCTTTCTCCTATATATTGAATTTGATAGGTTCGATTATTGTCTTCGTCTGTAAATATAATACTTCCATCTTTGAGTTCGAGCAAACCAACTGGTGAACCAAACTTCGTTGGAGAAGTTGAATTAATTAGAAACCCATAAGCAAAATCTTCATAGTAATTGATAGGTCGATTAGTTGTTTCATTGAAAGGTATAAAAATTATGTTGGAACCAATAGCAGCTTGACGATTACCTGATCCACGCAATGCAACAAAAACTCCACTTCGATATCGTTCAGGAAACTGTTTACCCGTGTAAAAAGTCACACCGAGTGCACTAGAATGAGATTGAATAAGAACATCTGGTGTTCGTGTACGTGCGACAAGATCAGGTCGTTCACTCGAGCCATTAGCTAAAGTACGTCTTGGATCGAGGAAATTTGGACTTAAATAAGCATATGGCCAACCGAAAAAGTCATTTTCTATGACGCTAGTAAAAAAATCTGGTACGAGCTCATCGCCGATTTCATCTCGTTCTTGACATGTTGCATAGAGTTCTTGAGTTTTTGGATGAAATGCTAGGCCAACCGCATTTCTAAGGCCAGTCGCAAAAGGTTTCTGATTAGTTCCATCGAGATTAGCAACTTGAATAGAGGCCAATGGTAAAGGTTCTATGTTGACATTGGAAGCTGAACCTATGCTAACATAAAGACGATCATTTGTTGGTGGTATGACAATAGTACGTGTCCAATGGCGTTCACCAGTATAGTTCATTAATACTTCACCACTACCAAACAGTTGTCCAATACAACCGGTCCAATTGAATCGTCTTACAGTACATTGATCGGCAGCATAGAAGTATTGGCCTGAAAATGCCATGCCAAATGGTTTAGAAAGTCCATTAGTTCCATCGGCGATTGTGACACGTTTATCAGGGTAGCCATCTTTATCAGTATCTAATAAACAAGAAATGCGATTGATCTGTGATTCGCTAACAAGTATATCGTCTTCGGGTGTATACTGAAGATACCGTGGTTTTTCAACATTAGTCGTGTGTACTTTAATAATAAATCCTTTTGGAACAAACAGCTCAGGATTTGGAGGTACCGGTATAACTTTTGCATAATTCAAGATCAGTTCTGATACATTTGGAGGTGGAAGATCGGCTAGTGTGAAAAGTTTGGGCTTCGGAAGGAATGTAATATTGATACAATTAATACGATGAAAATTAAGCGCAAAGAATATGCTGAGAACGAAAATGAGAGTATATCGTCGCATTATAGGCATTGAATTCTTACTATTCTTTTCTTTTCACAGGGTAGGACTGAAGGGATAGAAAAACTTGCACTGATTCATGTTGAATATCATTCTTTATCTATAATACAAGGATATTATTTATGGCGAGGAAACCAGCAAAAATAAAGGCTCGAATATGTGCAAATAGAGTTTCGTCTTTTATTGCTTTTTATTCGACATTTTGATTTACCTGGTCTTGATATTAATTCGAGCTGTGGGTGTAGAGGAATGACTTATTTAAAAGTTGACATATAGCATTGTTTTTTATATTCTTAACAATAAATATCGCTATGAAGACCAGCTTCACTTGTTAATCAAAGTTTCGATAATAATTTTCATCCAATACTGCAATGACTTCTGTTTTGCGAATAATTAATAATATTATCACATAAAATATATTCGCCACTGAGACATTCGTCAATATTTTTAAGGATACAAAAATTTCTAAATTAGTACAACAATCGAAAAGGTCAATACAATATCCATAGTTTAGTTTAAAACGATATTTGAAGAATGCATAAAAATCATGAAACTTTCTGTGAAATATCACAACAATCACCTCGAATGCATGGGTTGATAAAGATTGAATGTGATATTCCTTTCATGAATAGATAAGGTGTAGTCCGAGAACTTTTGAATCATTCAATATAATTTTTCATAAATCAGTCCAATAGAAACAATCATTTAAAGCAATCCAATCAAAGTCGTAACCAACACCTTCTATTCTGTACTTTATAAAAACAGATTTATTACTGAGGTCTAGAAGTTCCATATCAACTTAATGCGTGGATATGATATTTCCACTTTCTTTTTATTTTTACAGAAAAAGGAAAGTAAAGCGAAGTACTTGCTTTGATAAGTTTCTTTTCTAAAAAGAGAAGAAAACAGAAGTTGAGATCCTTCATATTGTTAAATATGAAAAGCATCTATCTAGTCGACAAGAAGCTCGTTCAAGAAGTCGTTTTAATCTTAGGGGCCGTAATCGACCGTTTTTTTCTTCTTTATTTCCTTATTATCTTCGTTTTGGGGACTGCATCATCGTTTAATTCACACCCACACCCTCTTTTTCTGTGTATTCAGATTTTGAGCGACTATTAACTATTCTATCTGAATCACTTACACACGTACCGTTAACATAGAATGCTCCTCATTACTTTCTAATTTCTAACGAACTCTGTCGAACGAATCCAGAATCAGATTTCTCAATCAATCGGCAGGCAGTATCCCATTGTAAAAGAAGCATCGGTGAAGTAATAGAAGTTACTGTTTTTTTTTGTTTCTTTCCAATTAGAAGTAAGCAAACCATTGCCGTCAATGCATCTAGATTCAAACAAGGTAAAAGACTTATCGTAAGACAACATGAATCAGAGTGTGGGTGTGAGATGTGGGTGTGGATTGACTGACGAAAAGATCCACACTCACACCTACACCCCACACCCATCCCCACCCCCACACCCTTCACACCTATATTTCAGAAAAAGTTTTAATTGCTACCTCAGACCCTTTCCGATGACTCTAGGTCTAATTAGACTATAACAATTGGAAAAAATGCTTTCTTTCAGAATATTGGCACAGAATAGTCTTCTTCCAAAAAGTGGTAGAAACCCTTCGGATTTACCCTTTTAACTTTTAACAACTTATGTATATCAGAAAAATAATGCATATTTGTAATAATCTTGAGATTGTTAAGTAATTCCTATCTATTATTTTTTTACATCTATTTAAATTATTCTTTTTAAATTAAGTGTTTTTTTTACAGAAATGAGCTGTCATACTTTTTTTATGAAGTTTTGTTGGCCTAGTTTTCGCTCGTTCAGTTGTGATTGATGTACTCAGTGCATGATATTTCGATCTTTCAAGTGTTAGTTGTATCATTATTCTCAAGTTTATTAATATTAAACTTTCAAGAGGAATTGTATTGTAAAAAAATCTATTTTCTATTGCACTTTTTATTTCCAAACAAAGAATTCATCTTTTTTGATTCTGTATGACAAGACTAACTAGATGGTATTCGAGTTTCGACTCGAATACGAAATGCGGTGTGAAGCACGAATCTGTCGAATCTGCGAAAAAACGGTACTTTCTAGAAAACGAAAATTCGATTGTCGAGTTAATAGAAATACTCATTTCTGGTTGACTTGTGGACGGACTACCGAACATAGACACTTGTCTGTATCATTCGAATTCGAAAAATTACTTTTTCACGAGTCAGCTGATATATGTCCTGAGAAAATTGAAAAGTACCATAGTAAAATTCATCGCCAAGAAAACTCTATGAAAGCCTATGAACATTTTTCTGGAGGACAATTTCGATTGATCGTTTAATTATCTATATGATTCATTATCTATAAACAGCTTTATCACAGCTGTCTTATATTCAAAGAGAAAGAATGGCGCCTAACTTCTCTTTCATTTTTCGTTTTAATTATCTCAATGCAAAATTTTGTCAAAATCGTGTTTTTTGGAACGGTATTTTTATGCGAACCAAAGACTGTATGAAAGATTGGAAAAAAGATCGCATGCCTTCGATCATGATACTATCATCTCCAGTTTTAACCATTAATTTGTGATCTTTGGTTCTCGAGATCATTCGAACAGAAAAGGACCATTTTTATGCGTACGTCGAGAAAGTAAAATAAAAAAGTAAAAAAAA